TCGTCGAGTACTTTATTTCTATTGATATTTGATTAATGTAATTTTTTATAAGAATAAAGTACTTAATAAGCTCTATATATTAAATAGTTCAAATTATTAAAATAAAAACCTGTGGTCAGCTTTGCAAGCTTAAAAACACTATCTAATCCACAAAGTAAAATGTAAACAAGCCTATCTCTATTTTATTTGATCAAAAAATAGTATGGGCTAATCGTATTTTATTACAATTTTATAATTTATTTTACTTTTCTACTAACTCGTTTGGAAAGTAAATATTTTAGTTTATTTTAAAATTTTTTATAAAAAAACTTGTAAAGATGTGGATAGAAAAATATAAACTTGTAAAGATGTGGATAGAAAAATATGGTTGGGTGTTTTTAATGTTTTGCTATTTTAGTCCAAAAGCCACCACTTGAATGGGGCCTTAACTAATCAAGTAATGGTTATGTATCATATTCACGTGTTATGATCTTTATAATATTTATTATGAGCTATTGTGATATTAATTATGACCTGTTATGATATTAATTATGATATTATTTTAGTTGTGATCTAAGGATTCTTTAATTGTACCTTATGTAGTATTTAGTTATAACAAAACGGTTAGGCTTGTCTCTAGTCCACTTTTGTAGACTAGAGGGTGCTATCCTACCACGGGTTCTATTTCGATAATTTGAACTGTTCAATGTTTTAGATAAAAAAAAAAATGTGTAGAGTTCGTCGAGTACTTCATCCATGTAAAAAATCACGTTGATCGGATATCGATAGCTACTTGATCGGATTAGATTTTTTTCAACAATTTATTTTAAAAATTATATTTACCGTTGAAAGAAATCTAAACCGATCAAGTAGTTATAAATATCTGATCAACGTGATTTTTTATAGAAATAAAATACTCGACGAATTCTACATATTAAACGGTTCGGATTATTGAAACAAAATCTATGGTGAGCTTTCAAGGGGCTAACAGCATGGTCTAGTTTGATCTTGGATTGGAGACAAGCTTGGCTTATAACAAAAATAATTCATCCATCGAATTTGAGTTTGCACGAATCGCTCGAATTTGAACATGTCGATTAACTGCCCAGACGAGCGATGCAACCCTTGTCAACCGCAATCGTCACCTTTATCAACCGCGATTGTCACCCTTGTTGCTGAATGATCGGCGAACGACATATTTAGATTAGCTTAAAATTTGGACTTGCAGTGTCTTCAAATTGATGATTGATTAGAGAAAGAGAAAATGTTGTCTACTTCCATACTATTTATTTGGCAGTTTGATTGAGTTTCTTCCCCTATTTTCTTTTCCCCTATGTTTCAATCTTCTGGAATAAAATGTCACGTGAAACTCTAAGGTAGTGTTTGGTTCACTGTAATAAAGTGCAAAGATTCCTTGCACTTCTCATATTTGGTTGACTAAAAGAATAATGAAAAATTCATTGCAATGGAAATCATCATTTAACTCATTCCAATGAATCAAATAAAGTATCAATGAGATTGAAGTGTTTCAAAAATAATTAGTGTTCTGATAAATGATATGGGTTATTTTGCAAAGTAATGTTTTGTGATCTTTTGTTTTTATTTGATTGTTAAAAATTAGGATTATAGTGAGAAAGAAATAGCCCATTGTATTTAAATAATGGCACAATTAAGTAATCAAATAGTCATTGTACAACCCATTGGTATTTAAACCCAATCTATTTATAGCACTATTAAATGAGTTATTTCATCACTACAGGTCTCTGGTGTTTCAACCTATTCAACAACCTTGGAGTTCATTTTAATTCATATCATACACAACATTCATATTTTTTAATTCATATTATAATTTATGAATTGAGGCTTAATTTCTTATTTGTTATTTATAATTTTTCTCATAATCAAATGCTTTTGTATTATTTTTTACAGGTGGATGATATGTTAGAGGAAACAGTAATATGAGATCTCTATACACATTTTTTATTTAATCTTCATTCCTTAATATAATTTTTCTTTGACCTTTCAAATGCATTTCTATATATACACAGATTCAGTTTCTTCAAAACAGAAATGTCAGTGTTGTGATCCATAATAAACGGGACTTCAATGTCCTCTGTGTTCTTGGGGGTAAGCCCACTAATCAAATTTATTTGCTTCTCACATTTTTTTTTCTTAATAATTTTTGTTTATTTTTTTAAAGGCAAAGGCAAAAGCAAAGGTAGAGGCGAAAGAAAATGAGAAGTTTAAAGGAAAAGGAAAGGAAAACTACTCAAGAAAGGGAATAAAAAATACACAAATGGTATGGTTGTTTTCAAGTTTGTTTTGGAACATGTGTAAAGAAAATCATAGGGGGAATGTGATATTTTGGAGGATGCATAATCTCTGTGTAATTTTCTTTTTTACTGTAAAGTTTGTGAAGATGAGCATGATGCTTTTAATGATATTCAAACTAAATTATGCATCCTTAAAAAACTATAAAGGATATTTTACAAAGATATATAAAATTTTCCAAATACAAGAGGGAAGTAACTAAAGTTTAAAAAAGAACACAAATGATGAAAGACAGAAATAAATTGAAAGTGTATTTGAATTAAAATTGTGTTTAAATTATGATCAAGTCAAACTTTTATAGGATTGGGTTGAAAAGCTATACAGCTCAAGAGGATAAATAAGACTACATTGTTCCGATGGAATTATAATAAGGTATCATTGGTCCATATTGCTTCAAGATCTATTTTTTGTATTGTTTCAATATGCTAATGTTATTGTTTTTTAAATATTAAATTGTTGTGCATGCTCCTCACTGGAAAAAGTACACAAAAATTGATACATGGACATTTCAGAATGCGATGGAGAACAAGTTTGAAGGTGTCCAAGCGCTTTAGAGGCGGCCAAGTACTTTTTGTAAAAGAACAAGTTTGAAGACATTATATGGCATACATTTTGTAAAATTGACAAATATTTTGTAAAGTATATCCTTGATGTTAAACTACTTTTGTAAAGCTTCTTACTAATGTGTACTTTATTGAATTTCTAATATTTTTGTAAAGTATCTTATCAATGTAAAAGATTGGACCTTATGGATGGTTATTGAGTGTGGATAGTAAAGTGCCCTTGAAAATTCACTAAATTTAGTATCTTTGCATATTTTGGTGGAAGTCACATATGCTTGACATGGATTTTTGTGAAAATTTAGTGTCTATTGTGCATGAATAATTTATTAGTGGATTGAAAGAGGATGTTATAGTATTATTACCTCTTAATTTTTATATACTTTAGTTCCCCCTCCCCCCTATCATGGTTATGAATTTTCATGGTTTGTTTCTGAATTCATTTTTCTTTTCAGGACCTCTGACTTTTCAACACAGTTGGTTGTGAAATTAGCTTGGGTTTGTTGTATCATCCATGATATTCTGGTATTAACAATAAGGTTAGTCTTTAAAATAACTTGGGTTAGTTTTATTTTATTTTATTTATTTATAAGTAATTAGTTGAAACAGTGAAAAAGTTTGGAGGATTTGAACTATTCCTATTGATATTTGATGTTTTATTAGAATGATTTGAACTATTTATTAAACAGGGTTGATTTTGAAAATATGTTAGAGAATGACGTGGGAACTCTTGATGGTATCACCCCAATTATGTGAATGAGGTGGGAAGCCTACATTCATGATAAATTCATTAGGAAATAAAAAATTTAAAATTTATTATTTATTTATTTCAATTTTCTTTATATCTTTTGTTCCTGTTTTATGTGAAGTTTTAAATTGGAGTGATATTGTCATTTTAAATTGATTTATTATAATTGAATTTCGTAGCACGTTCAAACAAAAATTGTTCACAGTGCCTTCAGGCACGGGTTATCCCTAGTATACCTACATTTCATCTAGTTTCACACACCTTACACCTTTTCCCTTTTCCTTTACAAATCCCTCCCTAAATCCCCAAACCAAACACAATGTTAGGGATATAAGATGGGAAATAATATGTTTAAGATATAAGATGAATTATATATATTGCATGGTCACTTGTACTATATTTGGTTAGTGTAGGATATAGCATGCGATAAGAAGAGATTGATTATTTTTTTACCGTTGGATGAATGACACCTCTTATGGTGGGGAATATACAATACCATAGGAGTTTGGTATTGCATATCCTCTATTTTGAGGGATATAATATACCACAAGATTTCATATCCTGTAACAAACAAAGGATATAAAAAAGGTGAAACCCACAAGTTTTTCTTTGTCCCCTATATCTGGTCAAAAGGGTATATCCCCATCATATACCCCAATCAAACAGGGCCTCATAGTATTATGGAGCCCCTGTAGGGACGGGCTGAAATTTCTAAAAGTATTTTAGGGCAAGATCTTTTAAAAAAATTGCTAAAAAAACTACTTTTCATGATGGAGAGACATCCCATAAAGGCTTATTTTCTTTTGACTTCTTTTTTTATTTTTATTTTTTTAGCAAAAAGTTGCTTATTTAATTCATTCCAAACAGGGCCTACAAAAGTTCCACACAACAAGAACCATTCTCATAGATGGAATGAACTTCAGTTGAGGCTCATTTGCCTTTTCAATCGGCAAGTCAGTCTTATATATGTGTGTGTGTGTATATATGTCTATATCTTTAGTTTCTGAATCCATAAATTTGTCAGGAACAATTGTCAAATCAACATTGAAACATCAATTGAGTCTTTGTGGAAAACAATTGCTCATATACTAATCAGTCATTGCATCATCAGAAACAATTGTGACAATGAACGATTTCACAATTCGAAAAAGTATGAAAACAAATGGAAAAGCAAATAAAACCCTAATCATCATCACTCGTCAGGATAAAAAAACAAAACAAAAACAAAAAATTGAGAAGACACATTAAGAAGAAGATCATTGAGGGAGCGTACCGTAGTCTGCTATGTAGTTGATTTACGGTTGTTTTCAGTTCAGAGTCTACGACCAAGAGGCCTCATTGCGTAGTGTTGAATCAGAACATTCTTATATAGGTACAAATGTGATATACATATAGATATATTTTGTATATCACTTTAATAAGTGAACTTTTTTATTTTTATTTTTATTTATAGTTTGGGTTTTTTTCCAGCTCGATATCAAATTAAAATGTGTTGTTGGGTTTGTAGAGCCCATCAAGGGTCTTGATTCGATAGTTCGAATTGTATAATATATAAAACTCGTCGAGTACTTTATTTCTATTGATATTTGATTAATGTAATTTTTTATAAGAATAAAGTACTTAATAAGCTCTATATATTAAATAGTTCAAATTATTAAAATAAAAACCTGTGGTCAGCTTTGCAAGCTTAAAAACACTATCTAATCCACAAAGTAAAATGTAAACAAGCCTATCTCTATTTTATTTGATCAAAAAATAGTATGGGCTAATCGTATTTTATTACAATTTTATAATTTATTTCACTTTTCTACTAGCTCGTTTGGAAAGTAACTATTTTAGTTCATTTTTTAATTTTTTATAAAAAAACTTGTAAAGATGTAGATAGAAAAATATGGTTGGGTGGTTTTAATGGCCTCGTTTGGTGTAACTGTTAAAACAGCTTATAGATTATAACTTAACAGATTATAGATTATGACTTTAATCAGAAGTTGTTAATTTGTTTGGTGAAACTGTTGGGTTATAGATTTAAGTTGCTGAGTAGTGTTTGTTAAATAAGCTGTGAAATAGTTTTTTCAATTAATTTTTATTTTTTGTTTGTCTACATTTCTCAAAAAAAAAAAATAATAATCTATAGTCCATTTGGGTCTTTTTCTATTTTTAAAAAAATAAAAAATAAAAAAATCTAAGAATATAATCATAAATTAACATGTCCACAGCAGAAACTGTTAATCAGAAGTAAGGGGTGAGCAGATTCTCAGAATTAACTTTTTTGAGTTAAAATAAGCTGTTAGAATCAAAAACTGTTTGAAATAAGTTTAACCAAACAGTTCAAAATAACTTTTTCAAAGCTAAAAGTTGTAAGTTAGCTCTGAAAAGCTGAAACAAACACCCCTAAAGAGGGGAAGAAGAAAACACATGGAATCCTTCAACAAAAAACACTCTTTGATTAGCTAGAATATCGGCGCAACTTTTGGCTTACTTGTAGATATGGTTAAAAGACACAACCCCCAACCTCTCTGCAGGTTAGTTTGGGATGTGAGTTAATTTTTTAATTTTTTGATTATTTTAGTTTGAGTTAAAAAATTTCGTTTGGGATAAGATTTTTATTTATTTTTTAACTTTTAAGAGAAAAAATGAAATAATTATGATTTAGATATGATGTTTTGTCTTATTAACTTTTTAACTGATCTTATCTTTTTATAATTAAAATAGTAAAAAAAAAAATTCAAAAAATTTGGCATGCCAAAAGATACATGCAATCAGATATAAAGTGATGATGCTCATTGCTGCTCCCAAAAATGAGTTGTTTCTCAAGCACATCGTTGGTTTCCGCCTCCAACTTCATTAGATTATTGTCCACGGCTAACTTGAGTCCATCTCTCATGGCCCAAAATTCAGCCATGATGTTAGAACAATAACCAATGTTTCTGGTAAATCCACACACCCATCTGCCCAAATGATCACCAATTAGACCACCAGCAAATGCTTGGCCTGGCTTTTCTTTAGACGCTCCATCGGTGTTCAATTTCAAGAAGCCAAGCTTACGTGGTATCAAGCTAATTGATTTCTGTAACTGTTGGGAAGCTCTAATCTTAAATCTTTTTGGGCCAAAAAGAAAAACTATTTGTTCAAAAAGACATGCTATCTATTTAAAAGTTTAATTATTTGTCGATTTGTTCAAATGTTACATATCTATTCAAGTGCACTTATTTATACACATGTCATCTATTTTGTTCAAATGTCCAATAAATTGTTTGAATATATGCACATATCACCAATCTATTTAATTATTTGTTCAAACATTTTACTATCTATACATATGTCATCTATCTATCCACTTATCAATTCAACTCATTGCTACTAGTTCTTGCCGCTGTCAAACTTTTGGACCAATCTTCTAAAAACTTTGAGGTGCCATAGATTTTTCAACATACTTCTCCAGGTAAGATATTATTATTTTTTTTTGAATCTAATGACTAATGCGCCCTCCCACTAAACAATCTATTTTTAAATTTAATAATGAAAAAAGAAGCAACTCCATAGAAAAATCCTACTCATAGGCGCCCACTACATAGTTCATTCATCTCCATCCATCCATCCATCCACCATCATGATGGTGAAGAAGAAACCAGATACGAATCACACTATTCTATCTACATCTGGAACCTTCTCAATTACTACTTTACTTCCACCTGTCTACCAACCTGTCAACCCCCAAATCCCCTCCCATCCCTTATTCAAAATCGACGCTGCTAAGTTTCTACACCTTTCTTCATCCCAAAGCAATCCAAACTTTGCTGATTATGGCGGTTTTGTATTTTACCTATCATCCAATTCTACTATATATATTTAATATTCCTCATCTTCCATAAAAACCCATCAAGCCCTCTTCATCAACTTCCTAAAAAAAACCTCTCAAATTCTTCAAAAACAGAGCATTAATTACCTTCTATTCAGCGATCAATATCAACCATGACAGGCAAGCCTGAGGAACCACAAACCAACCCACCACCACCGCCGCCGTCATCGTCATATCCGACGAAATCGAAGTCCGATGAGGATACAAAGAAGTGGGGGACCCACATCATGGGGCCGCCGGCAGTGCCGACCGCGCACCCGGATAACCAGAAGGCTGCCACGTGGAGCGCCGCCGATCACCAGCAGTTGTTCCACCAGCAACACCCTTACCTGCAATACTCGCCAGTGGATAAACCCAGCAACAACCCTTTTGAACCTGTGATTGATATGTTTAATTCTTGGAGCAAAAAAGCTGAGGCTGTTGCTAGAGATATTTGGCACAATCGTAAGTCTCATTTTGCTTTTTTATTAACTCTTTGAGCAAATTAAACCCCTAATTAATTTCTTTAATTTGTATATTGTGTCAATTTGATCATCCTATTGCTAATTATATCAATTTTTTTTTTTGAATTTTATATACTGAATTAATTTAATCTAATTGATAATACTTAGGATTATTAGTCCTTGTATTTTAGGTTTTTTATCTTATTTTGGTTCTATAATTTTAACTATCGATTTTGATATTTGATCTTGAATTTTTTTAACTTTGCCTCAAATTAGTTTAATTGATTCCAATTGTTAGTATTTTTTGTCTGACACATTTGTATAATTAGTCTTTTTAAAATTGTTCTAGAACCAGTGTCAATTCACACTCCTCACTCCTCAGAATGATTGAAGGGTTGATCTCTTTGAATGAATCATTTCTAAATGGGTTGGCAATAGTCAGCCTTCTCAAATTGCGAAGTTGACGCCAATTTGAAATAATTTATTTTGTAAATGAATCTTTGAATGGATAGACATCAAATTCACTCTCATTCAGAAATTCATTCTCAATATTGGGAGGTTGGAGTTTTCTTTATCATGTTGTCTCAGATTTTTATCCAATTTCTTAAATATTGTTATCAATTTGATTTCCCTAAATTGGTTCTTCTTCTATTTGATTCTTGCAAACAATTCAAATCATTAAGCATAGTTTTCACATGAATGTGTTTATATGTCATATTACAGTGAAAATGGGGCATTCTGTGTGTGAAAGTGCATGGGGAAAGTTTAATCTGACGGCCAAAGCTATGGCAGAGGGTGGATTCGAGTCCCTTTTCAAGCAGACCTTTCCAACTGAACCCAACGAGAAGCTGAAGAATACATTTGCCTGTTACCTTTCCACCACCACCGGCCCGGTCGCTGGAACCCTTTATCTGTCCACGGCTCGAGCGGCTTTCTGCAGTGATCGGCCTATGTCTTTCATTGCTCCATCTAGGCAGGAGGCTTGGTGCTACTACAAGGCTATGCTACCATTGGCAAACATTGCAACAGTGAACCCCGTGATTATGAGAGAAAAACCATCTGAGAAGTACATACAAATTGTGACAGTAGATGGTCATGATTTCTGGTTCATGGGATTTGTGAATTTCGAAAAAGCATCACATCACCTCTTAGACAGCCTCTCCGATTTCCGAGCCACCGAACATTCAGCAGCACAACCACCACCACCACCACCACCGGCTTGCTAGCTGAGGATGCCGTGGATGCACTCATTGTTGGATCCTTCGTCGTCCTCGATTGAGTCTCATGCATATATCTATCTGTGTGTTTGTTTCTGTGTTCATTTGGCTCATGTTGCATCTTTCTTTCGTTTTGTGGATTGAATTTGTATTTTACAAATATGAACTGAAATAATTTATATTTTTTCCTTTGTATATCGGTGGGTAATGTTTGCTATTTATATTGGGATTCATATCCCTTAGCGATTTTATGAGCATTTATATTAACGTTACATTTGTGTGGTGGAAAATATTATTTTTTCCTCTTCAGAAAATATTTTTAAATTAAAAAGGTGAATGAAGTTTTTGCGAATAAAAGTCTAATTAATATCATCGCATTATATCATTATCATCATCTTTATCATTATCATTGTCACCTCTACTGTCTCATTATTACTATTTTTATCTTATTATTACTACCATCATTATACTACTATTGTCACTGTTATCTGTCTCATTATTACTATTTTTATCTTATTATTACTACCATCATTATACTACTATTGTCACTGTTATCTGTCTCATTATTACTATTTTTATCTTATTATTACTACCATCATTATACTACTATTGTCACTGTTATCTGTCTCATTATTACTATTTTTATCTTATTATTACTACCATCATTATACTACTATTGTCACTGTTATCTGTCTCATTATTACTATTTTTATCTTATTATTACTACCATCATTATACTACTATTGTCACTGTTATCTGTCTCATTATTACTATTTTTATCTTATTATTACTACCATCATTATACTACTATTGTCACTGTTATCTGTCTCATTATTACTATTTTTATCTTATTATTACTACCATCATTATACTACTATTGTCACTGTTATCTGTCTCATTATTACTATTTTTATCTTATTATTACTACCATCATTATACTACTATTGTCACTGTTATCTGTCTCATTATTACTATTTTTATCTTATTATTACTACCATCATTATACTACTATTGTCACTGTTATCTGTCTCATTATTACTATTTTTATCTTATTATTACTACCATCATTATACTACTATTGTCACTGTTATCTGTCTCATTATTACTATTTTTATCTTATTATTACTACCATCATTATACTACTATTGTCACTGTTATCTGTCTCATTATTACTATTTTTATCTTATTATTACTACCATCATTATACTACTATTGTCACTGTTATCTGTCTCATTATTACTATTTTTATCTTATTATTACTACCATCATTATACTACTATTGTCACTGTTATCTGTCTCATTATTACTATTTTTATCTTATTATTACTACCATCATTATACTACTATTGTCACTGTTATCTGTCTCATTATTACTATTTTTATCTTATTATTACTACCATCATTATACTACTATTGTCACTGTTATCTGTCTCATTATTACTATTTTTATCTTATTATTACTACCATCATTATACTACTATTGTCACTGTTATCTGTCTCATTATTACTATTTTTATCTTATTATTACTACCATCATTATACTACTATTGTCACTGTTATCTGTCTCATTATTACTATTTTTATCTTATTATTACTACCATCATTATACTACTATTGTCACTGTTATCTGTCTCATTATTACTATTTTTATCTTATTATTACTACCATCATTATACTACTATTGTCACTGTTATCTGTCTCATTATTACTATTTTTATCTTATTATTACTACCATCATTATACTACTATTGTCACTGTTATCTGTCTCATTATTACTATTTTTATCTTATTATTACTACCATCATTATACTACTATTGTCACTGTTATCTGTCTCATTATTACTATTTTTATCTTATTATTACTACCATCATTATACTACTATTGTCACTGTTATCTGTCTCATTATTACTATTTTTATCTTATTATTACTACCATCATTATACTACTATTGTCACTGTTATCTGTCTCATTATTACTATTTTTATCTTATTATTACTACCATCATTATACTACTATTGTCACTGTTATCTGTCTCATTATTACTATTTTTATCTTATTATTACTACCATCATTATACTACTATTGTCACTGTTATCTGTCTCATTATTACTATTTTTATCTTATTATTACTACCATCATTATACTACTATTGTCACTGTTATCTGTCTCATTATTACTATTTTTATCTTATTATTACTACCATCATTATACTACTATTGTCACTGTTATCTGTCTCATTATTACTATTTTTATCTTATTATTACTACCATCATTATACTACTATTGTCACTGTTATCTGTCTCATTATTACTATTTTTATCTTATTATTACTACCATCATTATACTACTATTGTCACTGTTATCTGTCTCATTATTACTATTTTTATCTTATTATTACTACCATCATTATACTACTATTGTCACTGTTATCTGTCTCATTATTACTATTTTTATCTTATTATTACTACCATCATTATACTACTATTGTCACTGTTATCTGTCTCATTATTACTATTTTTATCTTATTATTACTACCATCATTATACTACTATTGTCACTGTTATCTGTCTCATTATTACTATTTTTATCTTATTATTACTACCATCATTATACTACTATTGTCACTGTTATCTGTCTCATTATTACTATTTTTATCTTATTATTACTACCATCATTATACTACTATTGTCACTGTTATCTGTCTCATTATTACTATTTTTATCTTATTATTACTACCATCATTATACTACTATTGTCACTGTTATCTGTCTCATTATTACTATTTTTATCTTATTATTACTACCATCATTATACTACTATTGTCACTGTTATCTGTCTCATTATTACTATTTTTATCTTATTATTACTACCATCATTATACTACTATTGTCACTGTTATCTGTCTCATTATTACTATTTTTATCTTATTATTACTACCATCATTATACTACTATTGTCACTGTTATCTGTCTCATTATTACTATTTTTATCTTATTATTACTACCATCATTATACTACTATTGTCACTGTTATCTGTCTCATTATTACTATTTTTATCTTATTATTACTACCATCATTATACTACTATTGTCACTGTTATCTGTCTCATTATTACTATTTTTATCTTATTATTACTACCATCATTATACTACTATTGTCACTGTTATCTGTCTCATTATTACTATTTTTATCTTATTATTACTACCATCATTATACTACTATTGTCACTGTTATCTGTCTCATTATTACTATTTTTATCTTATTATTACTACCATCATTATACTACTATTGTCACTGTTATCTGTCTCATTATTACTATTTTTATCTTATTATTACTACCATCATTATACTACTATTGTCACTGTTATCTGTCTCATTATTACTATTTTTATCTTATTATTACTACCATCATTATACTACTATTGTCACTGTTATCTGTCTCATTATTACTATTTTTATCTTATTATTACTACCATCATTATACTACTATTGTCACTGTTATCTGTCTCATTATTACTATTTTTATCTTATTATTACTACCATCATTATACTACTATTGTCACTGTTATCTGTCTCATTATTACTATTTTTATCTTATTATTACTACCATCATTATACTACTATTGTCACTGTTATCTGTCTCATTATTACTATTTTTATCTTATTATTACTACCATCATTATACTACTATTGTCACTGTTATCTGTCTCATTATTACTATTTTTATCTTATTATTACTACCATCATTATACTACTATTGTCACTGTTATCTGTCTCATTATTACTATTTTTATCTTATTATTACTACCATCATTATACTACTATTGTCACTGTTATCTGTCTCATTATTACTATTTTTATCTTATTATTACTACCATCATTATACTACTATTGTCACTGTTATCTGTCTCATTATTACTATTTTTATCTTATTATTACTACCATCATTATACTACTATTGTCACTGTTATCTGTCTCATTATTACTATTTTTATCTTATTATTACTACCATCATTATACTACTATTGTCACTGTTATCTGTCTCATTATTACTATTTTTATCTTATTATTACTACCATCATTATACTACTATTGTCACTGTTATCTGTCTCATTATTACTATTTTTATCTTATTATTACTACCATCATTATACTACTATTGTCACTGTTATCTGTCTCATTATTACTATTTTTATCTTATTATTACTACCATCATTATACTACTATTGTCACTGTTATCTGTCTCATTATTACTATTTTTATCTTATTATTACTACCATCATTATACTACTATTGTCACTGTTATCTGTCTCATTATTACTATTTTTATCTTATTATTACTACCATCATTATACTACTATTGTCACTGTTATCTGTCTCATTATTACTATTTTTATCTTATTATTACTACCATCATTATACTACTATTGTCACTGTTATCTGTCTCATTATTACTATTTTTATCTTATTATTACTACCATCATTATACTACTATTGTCACTGTTATCTGTCTCATTATTACTATTTTTATCTTATTATTACTACCATCATTATACTACTATTGTCACTGTTATCTGTCTCATTATTACTATTTTTATCTTATTATTACTACCATCATTATACTACTATTGTCACTGTTATCTGTCTCATTATTACTATTTTTATCTTATTATTACTACCATCATTATACTACTATTGTCACTGTTATCTGTCTCATTATTACTATTTTTATCTTATTATTACTACCATCATTATACTACTATTGTCACTGTTATCTGTCTCATTATTACTATTTTTATCTTATTATTACTACCATCATTATACTACTATTGTCACTGTTATCTGTCTCATTATTACTATTTTTATCTTATTATTACTACCATCATTATACTACTATTGTCACTGTTATCTGTCTCATTATTACTATTTTTATCTTATTATTACTACCATCATTATACTACTATTGTCACTGTTATCTGTCTCATTATTACTATTTTTATCTTATTATTACTACCATCATTATACTACTATTGTCACTGTTATCTGTCTCATTATTACTATTTTTATCTTATTATTACTACCATCATTATACTACTATTGTCACTGTTATCTGTCTCATTATTACTATTTTTATCTTATTATTACTACCATCATTATACTACTATTGTCACTGTTATCTGTCTCATTATTACTATTTTTATCTTATTATTACTACCATCATTATACTACTATTGTCACTGTTATC